CTGGAAATCATGGTGGAAATGTAGTTTAAATGTTTTTGTAAATATCCTGGTAGATTTGGGGGGTTTCAGTCCCTAAGACTTTTTTTTCACACAGACAGCACACTTCTGTATCACTTTCTCCATTCCCTGGAGGGTGACAGATTTATTGTTTTAGTGCAAGGGAAAAGGGTGATTTCACTGACTGGAGAGTAAACAAAACTGAAGCCAATTTAAAGGTTTTATCCAGTGAAGTACAAAAGTGGAGGAAACAAACAAATAGTTTTACAGTCAGCAGTTTTTAAATTTATCTGCTACCTAAGAACCACCTGCTACTAAATCTTCCTTCCACGTTTGAAAGGAAGAGGCTTGTTTAAATCAGGAATCAAATAGCTTGAGAATAAGCAAATTTAATTTTAGATAAAGGTTTTACCTTGCCATTGTGTTTTTTGTGTGAATGATTTCACAGAACTTAGTTGTCTGGCTAAATTAGAACCAAAGTCCCTAACGGGAGTTGGAATAGGCTATATATCTGTAAGCTCTGAAGAACCCCATTTGGAAAAGTTGTGCCCAAATTTTGAGGTCTCTGGAATTGGATAAGTCATGTTTGTTCTGGTAAGGCCAGAGATCTCTTGAGATAGTGAAGGGGTCCTTCAAGATAGAATCAGTGGACTTATCCAGTTGTTGAGTAAAATGAAGGCTGAGGACAGTCTCTGTTTCCACAACCTCATAATTGTTTCTTTGACCTAGGCTTGCTTTTTCTGGGGAGATGATGTTATTTCCCAAACTCATAGAAGTTTCTCTTTTTAACAAGGAACAGTAAACATTTTGCAGTTTACTGGTATTTCATAAGAAACTTGTGCTGATTTGCAAAGGGGTTCAGTGGAATGAAGAAAAACAGTTTTGTAAATAGATTAGGATAGGACTGGAAATAGAAAAATGTGAGGAATAGTTGAAGTAGTGAAGGTAAGTGAACTATGGAATCAGAGTGTGGAAAGAGAGCTATAATTTTGAACTTTGCAAAGCTTTTATCAGAGTCCATAGGAAGAGAAAGAAGTTTGAGGAGATTTTGGATCTCCATGAGATTAAAGAACTGTGGGAAGAATTCTATGCCTGTAAATTTGTGAATAATATTTGAAGAAATGATGGTTAGAATTAGATTTGGGATTTCTTATGATCTCTGAATTTTGTTTCAGTGATTGAGATACTCTCATTGATATGGAAAAATAGCTAAAATCATGAGGACAATTTAAAGTTCACAGGATTCTATCTGTTTACAACATTTACCAAGTGAATTTGTTATTTATAAAAATATATTTGCAGCATGGAATTGAGTATAGGCATCTAAATTCTAACACTCTGTCCCTGAAGCATCAATAAAAGAGTATATTCTAACTTTTATGTGAGGACTATACATTCATGATTTCTATGTAAAAAAGGTTGTTTTTACAATAGCTGTATTTCGGGAGAGCTAAACATATACCTTGAAATGGAGATTTGAAAATACAAAACTGCCACATTAGTCTTTGGCAAGGAGATTCACTGCCAGTGGTGGAGCCTATAATTCGAAGTGGGAGCAGTGAACGGCCCTTGGAAAACTTGAGGTTTTATATGGTGCCATTTGTAACTGTAAATCCAAACTTGATTTGATTTATTTGTCCTAAACAGAATTGTACTATAGCCTCATTTAAGGTGAAATGTGTTTTTCTCTTGACCCTCTATGCGTAAAGCAGACTGTGATATACTTAAATATACTTAGATTTGTCATTAAGATGAAGTATTTATATGCTAGAAGAATCAGAATTATAAGTGTAACCTTTCTATCATTGTTAAGCCATACTGAGGTCACTAGAGATGTCTGATAGACCACATATCTTCAACTCAAAATCTTTTAAATTTATTTTGACAAATTGGGAAAAATTATAATTCACAGTATGGTTAATATATGTCCTGAATGTTAGTACTTTCAGCTGCCTTTGTAACTGTATGTGTAACTGGGTCATAATTACTCTATATTTGTAACTAGTATAGAATGTCAAAATTGATAAGTGGATTAAATGAGTTTTTTGAGTATAGTATAATCCAGAATTGCATTCAACTAAATTAATGACTGGCAAAAACTGTTGTGTGTATTTTAAAATTCATGGTATTGTTTTATATTAATAGTATGCTTATAATTTCTTGCATTGTGATTTTTGGGGAACCATGGTGGAAGAAATGATGTTAATTTGAAAAATGATACCTATCGGGATATAACTGTGTCATTAGAAAATTAACTCCTTTTTTAATCTGAACACTGTGAAATTGAATCTAAATGATCATTATTAGATTCTTTAGTTGTTATAGTTTAAAATGTCTTAAGTATTTGCTTAGGTATGCTTTGCTTTAAAATTAATAATAATGATGATGATAATAATAGATTTTTGGGAACACTTCCAAAGAACTTGTCAGTTCTCATCCATAAAGATATTTGGAAACTTACCCTGGGTCCTTTGGATCTTCAGCCTTGGCAAGGTCATAAAATCTTAGCAACTTTTGAAAGAAGGGGATGTAAGTACATAAGGAACAAAAAATATCCTTGTAAAATTTAAAATAGTGACTTGGTTTACTGAGAAACTGATATCCTCTCCTTTCCAACACAAACATTCATAGCCAAAGTGGGGGATGACTTGAGTTTGTTTATAATATAGAAGCAATTTGTATGCTTAATTTTCTGACAGTTGATTATGAAAATTGTGAAATTGTACCCAGAATAGTATGTATTGAAGTTATTATGCCTTTACAATGTGAATTTGGGATTGTAGACCCTGGTTTTAAGGATGTTTCCTTTTTACCCTAGAGGTTATTATCCAAGCTTACAATGATCATTATTTTTTGGGTTATGAGTGAATTATTTGCTGTATATGTAAAACTTTAGAATGTGATTATTTTCTTAATTTTTAATGATTGATTTTTATATCAAGATGTCTTTAAGCTAGAAAAGAAAATGATAGATGAATGCATTTGGAAAGGAATTATATGAATTTAATAAGTACTGAAGGTGAATGTTTTATTTAGTATTAAGAAGCTGTTATTGCAACTTGAAAAACAACTGTACCTTGGTCTAAATCTGAGGTGAGGAACCTGCAGCCTCAAGGTCACATGCGGCCCTCTAAGTCCTCAAGTGTGGCCCCTTGCCTAAATCCAAACTTCGCAGAACAAACCCCATTAATAAAAGGATTTGTTCTGTAAAACTCGGATTCCATGAAAAGAACGTACCAAAGGACCTAAAAGGCCACATGTGGCCTTGAGGCCACAGGTTCCTTACCCCTGAAACTGTTAGCAAAAACGTGCAAATGTGAGTAAAGGGTGTTTTGTCCTGGTATGAAAACTTAATATTGCCTAGCTAGTGGCGTGCAGTTAGATGAGAAGTCTGTTGAATCAGTTCATCAGGACGTAGGTCTTAGCCCCAAAATTAAACATAAGGAGAAGTGCATTCTAGATCACACTTAGGATATTTCCTAGAGCTTTGAGGATCACAAGCACCTTGCTTCTTCCAAAGTTTATCTTTTTAATGTTAAAGTTTTTCCAGTGATGGTTTGTAATTACAAGTCATGAGATACCACAGTCTCATAAAAATCAAAATGATTTTTAATTTTTTTTAAATGAAAGATTGTCCTCAAAAAGATATGTGGTATGCATAGGCTTTAGCATGTTATCAGCACTGACTTGTTAAGAAATTAACAAGACCTGTTTAATCAGAGAAAGATCTAAGCTCATTGTGCTGAGAGAATGAGAAACAATGGATGGCTAGCCCAAGTGGTACATGGACATTCCTGAGATAATAAAGGGATAGATGAAGGAGGGAAGAAAACAGGGAAGGAGAAGAGGGAAGGGAAAGGAAAGGAAGAGAGGGGACAGGACAGGAGGAGGTTGGAAGGTTTTCAAGTGCCAGGCATTGTGCTTTGAGGAGGATACAAAAAAAGACAGTCTCTGCCTTGAAGAAGCTAATATTCTAATGGGGGAAGATAGCATATTAAAGGAAGCTGGAAACCAGTGGAGAGGAAAGTGAGGAAGATATGAGGAGGTATGAAAAAGAGAGCATGGTTTTGAAGTCCCAAAAGTCTGAGAAAAGACAGAAGAACAGTAAAGGCAGGCCAACTAGGGCCCTTCCACAAAACAGAAGCATCAAGAGGAACTCCCCAATGAGAGAAGGAGGCAGGCCTTGTTGAGGAGTATCCCAGGGGGAGCAGGCCGCAGAAGTATTTGGCTATTCAGGGCAAGAAGCCCAAGTGCTGAGGGAGGTCCAGAAGGAGCAGCAGGAGAGAAGCTGCTGTTTCACCGCCCAGAAAGTGAGGTATAGGGCCAGGGGGAGAATGAAGGGAATAGTGTCTGCTTTTGTGCTGCCCCCGTCCTCTGTTCGGGATTTATGGAAAGACTAAGGACAAGTAGCAGGGCGTGGGAGATGTGCAAAGTGTCAGTGGCACGAGTTCTTGCACCAGCAAAATAATGGATCCATTAAAGTAGGTTTCATGCTTTGTTATGCCTGCTCCACCCCACATGCAGACTGTACAGACTTTTGATAGCCTTTAAGTCCCAACCAAGTCTTAGCTCTGTCACAAAGTTTTTTCAGAACAGATTTTCCTAGCTCACATCTTATTTCCCTCTGAATTCATAACACTCTTTTTAGTACTTTTTCAGCAGTGTAGCTTTATAATGTCTCATATTATTGTCTTCTATTTTTCTTAAGTGTCTTGTAATTTTGATGAGTATAATTTGTTTTCGCTGTGAACCTTCTAAGACTCAAAAGATTTTTGGTAATTTCAAACTGGGATTTATATTAAGGGAATTTAGAATTTGGCTTCTTGTGAAAAGATAATTATAGAGAAACTGCACACCAGTTTGATAGGAAATAGTTTTCATGTAAATTATTTTCAGTATATACAATTTAAGTTATTAAAACACTAAAATATTGAGTAATGTAGAATTGATCATTCTTATTTGCTGATTAATCTCTTCAATTTTTTCCCAAAAACCCCCAGCAGATCAGTTTATTAACAGAGGCTCAGGCAGTGCACGAAACAGTAGGAATCAAGATGTCTCTCACATTGCATTTGGATCCAAGGTGCTTGGACCACCTCCACCTTCTGGTAGAAGACATAGCATAAGAACATCTAGAGAGGTATGAGAACAGTTCAGAAAACTGGGTAAACACGGGTGACGTGGTGTGGTGATGGTTTGTTCTGGTATTGAAAAGCCAACTACAATACGCCCATAATATACCCCAAAGAAGTGCTCAGGAAACTTTCTGCATTATGAGAAAAGTACAAGTGAATGGAAAAGATATCCTTTCCCCCCCACATTTACTATTCATTTACTGACCCCCAAGTTTGTTACAGTGGGTCGGAGTTCACTTACTAATGCCCTTATCCTTAAGGACCTTCTCTTTCTAATCTCACATTGCATTTTTTTTTGCACCTGTATAATGCTCTTATAATATATCATTGCATAATATCGTTATGTCTCTTTATACTCTAGGTGGTAATCTCAGTGAGTTCAAGAATCATGTTTTTTCCTAAGCATTTTGTTTCCCTCATCACCTACAAAAGAGCTCTGCCCATAGTAGGGGCTCAATAAATAACATGTATAAATCAGTGAATCCAATACATGTCAATAGCTCAAAATAAACTTTTAGACAGCGTTTTAATGCATATACATGAAATAAGCAGAAATTCAAAGATAAGACTCCGCCTGCTGACGTGCTCTTCCTTTTACTTTAAAACTGGGTTAGACATCGCCATCCAGTAAAGAAGCAAATTTTTGCACTTTATGATTTGTATTTCACATGTGACAAATTATGTATCTGGGTGATTTTTGAAGTTTCTGCCTTTTAAAGGGAAATAAGTACATTTTCATTTTCATTTCTGTCTCTGCTTTTTTTTTCTCCCTTCCTACTTATATACAGTTGTTTGCCTTTGCCTAACTTTGTGGCCTTCCTTAACTCTGCCAGAAATGAAATAAAAAAAAACAAAACCGTTGTCCCCATCGGCTTTCTGCTATTGAGTACAGTTTGTGCTTTCATAAAGGCAATATGTATAGCAGGCAAATCACATAGACTCTGAAAATTCCCATCAACCCTTCTTAAACATACCTATAAATTCATTGCATCCTTGGAAAGTTCAGATCTTACTAAATGAGCTTTGAGTAAGGTGGCTTTCTCTTTGCTTACTTGAAGAAATCTGGAGATGTGGGAAGAGCACTGATTATTTCATGAAAGGACCTGTATTCAGAACCTTGCCCAACTCCATACTGTGTGACCTTGGGAGAGTCATTTACCTTTCAGGGACTCAGTTTTCTCATTTGTAAAATGTGGGAGGTAGGACTAGATGATTTAAGGTCTTTTCCATCTCTACATGTATAATCTTGTTATCCTAAGTAATTTTTGTGTCTTTCTCTCCATTAAAAGTTCTTTTAAAGGCTAATATGCTTTAAAATACAGTCTGTGAAGGTAAAATAGTCTTAATCAGTTATTTCATCTGGCAGTCTCTGACGATTCATCTTTTCTTATAGGCTGTAAAATCCAGAAGTAGCAGAACTTGCCAGCAGCCTACTGTAGAAAAATGTACTAACTGGTCAGAAATGTCAAGCCTGCAGTTCTATGAGTCAGAAGAACAAGGAGACAAAGAAAATATTCATCTAGAAAAGCAGATTACACCTATTAATGGTAAAGAAGGATTTATAAAGATTAACTTATCACTTCAATAGTAGACTTGTTCTTTTGTTTTAGGAAATAGATCAATAGAAATGTTATTTTAACATTGCAAAGAGTAGGGAACTAGTAGGGAAATATTTTTAGAATTCTTAATGAAGCCCGTAGTCATTACTGTGAGTGGCTCACAGTTTTCATGTTTGGGTTTCAGTTCTCCTCTTTCAAAGATCTTGTCTTTGGAATCAGGATTCTAAATGAGAACAAATTGCTGCTTTTTAAAAAATCACCAAGAGTTTATGATTGATGCTTTTAAAAGAAAGTGCAACAGTATATCAATCCACGCTACTGGATTAGGAAGCATACTCAAAGTTTAAGGAAGTTTTATGTCTTCTTTTAAGATTCTTAAAAAGGAGGTTTTTTTAGTTTAACCTTTTTGGAGGAGCAACAGAAAAACTTTTGAAATTTCTTCCAAAAAACATTGTCTTAGATGAAACTGATATTTTACTTGTGTTTTATTTTGCAGCATTTGGATCTAATTAGTAACCATTATCAATACACATGATATCTTATGTAAAACAAATATACTATGTAATAGGAAAGTGATAAGGAAAACAAATATGAAAAATTTAATTGCTTTAAAATTTTTCCCCCTAATCATATGTATGAAAGGTCTTCCAAATTCTTTCTAATACTAATTTTAACTTCCAGCATCAAATAATCAAATCAGTATTTTATTTTGAATATTGTATTATGGAACATAAAATTAGAATTCAGAAGGAATTTGGAAGACCTCTTTGTGCACGCTAATTGTTGGAGGCAGCAAGGTGATGCAGTAGATACCATTGGGCAAGTCAGGAAGACTTAAATTCAGATCCAGCCTCAGATACTTAATAGCTGTGTGACCCCAAACCAGTCACTTCACTTCTGTTTGCCTCAGTTTTCTCATCTATTAAACGGAGGTAACAATAGCACCTCCTTCCCAGGGTTATTGTGAAAGCCAAATGAGATAATGTCTGTAAAATACTTTACAAACCGTAAAGCTCTATATAAATATTGGCTTTTATTGTTAATGTTGTTGTTATGATTTGTTATTTTTATCATATCATTCCAGAGTATAATATAGGTGAATGAAAATAGCATCCCTTAACCTTATGGGTTTTTTTCATTACAGTAAAATATTAGGAATATTGTAGTTCACAGGTGAAGCCTGTCTTTAGAATAGAATCTCAGTTGAAAAAATCCTTTTCAACTGATATTTTCATGTGCTTTTAGAATCTATAGCATTACCATTATGTATAAGGAAGTCATTTCAGCATCATCTTCTTTTGTGTAGTCAGAGCATCAGCTGGTTAGGACAGAGGTAAAAGTCAACATCAGTTTAGAAGAAAGGTTAAAGATGAGAAGATAGCATAGTGAAAAATTGCAGCAATTTTAATCTGACCTATTCATATGATCCTTGAATACAAAAAATTTAGAAAGGGAAAGATGAAGATTTTCCCCTTAATTACCACCTTTTACTTGTGAAGTTTTGCTAATGTGAAACTGTTGCTGTAGAGGAAAAGCTAAGAACTCAGGAATCCCCTTGTCAGATAACCCTTGAGCTCTTTGCCGCGCCTGGAGACGCGGCAGCCAGAATCAGCGGTCATTTAGAATACAGACTCATTTGTCAAAACTTGCGGAGGAGGTTGGGCAGTGTTGCCCCATACAGTGATGATAAGCAGTAGCTAGGAACATGTCTAAGGATGCAATAGCATGCAACAAAAGGAGCCCCCTCAGCCCAAGAGCATTCACCTGTGAATGCAGGTGGCAGAAGGACAAGCAGACATTCAAGAGAAAGAATTCGTCATTGATTCTCCACCAATCTGTTATCACTGTCAAGGATGGAGAAGCCACCATTTTTGTACTCATAATATATCAATCCAAAGAAATAAAAATGTCACTGAAGAGGACAGTATTGAGAAGCGTGTATGGGTTAAACTAAGTACATGCTGAGGAAATCCACCATGCTGAAGAAGACAGTCTTTAAAGTATTGGCTTTACAAGATGCCATAACAATAGGAAAAAAATTCAAATGATATTGACATTTAAAAAAAATTAGAGATGACATGTGCCATGTGTCTACTTTCTTGTTTTTGTAAAAATCATTATGATAATGATCTGTGTGTGTCCTTAATGAAACATGAAAGGGAATCTTTTGCAAATACTGCTCTATGGAAAATCATATCCTTAGAGTTAGGTGACAAAAAGTTCAGAAGAATACAGTATCCTCTAGTACTCTTGTGTTTATTGTTTGTTGATTATCAAAAAAAGAAAGAAAAAAAGAAGAGGAAAGGGAGGAAGAAGGAAGAGGAGGAGTCAGTAAAGCAAAATACAGCTGATGGGCCTTTCTTGCATATTAGGGACATACAAAATTTCTTGGCAAATATAACCACTGATATGACTGTTCAGTGACAAAATGATTATTTATGTCAAGCAAGGCATGAAATAGAACAATGCATGCTTGTCAAAGATGTTAACCACTGTCATAGTGGATGATGCTGTTTATGGATAAAATTATTTTAGATACCTCAAGCCCCAGAGTAGTGTGGGACCTTTCCAATGAAATCCACAATTATTTTAAAGCATATGATCTAACAATCAGTCTAAAAGTAATTAAGTGCTTACGGAGTACTAGACACTGTGCAGTTCACACAGGAAAAAGTAAGTGGATAAAAAAATTACATACAAAAACATTTTCAGCATCACTTTGTGGTAGCAAAGAATTAGAAACAAAAGGTGTAAACTCTGGTATATGAATGTAATGGACTAGTAATGTATCATAAGATATTTTGAGAATTACAAATTCAGAGAAACTAAGGAGAACTTTGTATGAACTGATACCAAGTGAAATGAACAGAATCAAGGGGACAATTTGCATGATGACCAGTATTGTATTTTCTTTTTTTATTTCTAATAAATTTAATATTTTATTTTTCCCCAATTACGTATAAAAGCAATATTTAGCATTCATTTTTTTAAAAAAATTTAGTTCCAAATTCTATCTTTCCCTTCCTTTCCTCCCCCCTCCACTATTGAGAAGGCAAGCAATTTGATATAGATTATGCATGTGCAGTCATGCGAAACATATTTCTATGTTAGGATGACCAGCATTGTAAAGAAAAATCACAGACTACAGAACTTAGATCAATTGCAGTGACCAGTCAGGACCTCATAAGATCAATGATGAGGCATCTGCTTTCAGGCTTGGCCAATTTGTTGACTATACTTACTTGTTACAAAGGGAGAATTTCTATTAGGAAAGGGCATGTTAGTAAGTATTGATTAGAGATGCATAAGTAGAGAGATAAAATTTAATATCACATAAAAATGAACAGAGGAAAACAGACGGAAGTTTGGAAGTATACACTAACAGCAACTTTGTTACTACCATGTTAAATTTAGTATGCACTCAGGAAACTACATAACAGAAATTCACAGTTTCATATACAATCCTCTTTTCTGTTCTTTGTATACTAAAACATTCAGGTTTCTTGATGATTTCTAAGTTCATTATTTTAAAAAAAGTTTTTTAAAGAAAAAAATGGGAATACCTGTTGTCTAAATTCATGTGCAGTAAGATGGCAGTCCATGGAGTTGATACATCAGTAGATGTATTTGAGATAGTATCTGGAACAAGATACTGAGTTGAACTCATTTGAATAAGAGAAAGAGAGCATCATGGATTACATTTGGGATTGTGCAGTGCTTTTAACAATCCTGATTTGAAAACTCTCTATAATCATATGAAAAAAACACTCTAAATCACTACTGATTAGAGAAATGTGAATTAAAATTACTCTGAGGTACCACCTCACATCTATCAGATTGACTAATATGACAGAAAAGGAAATCCACCTATTCTGGAGAGCAGTTTGGAACTATGCCCAAAGGGCAGTCAGACTGTGCGTACCCTTTGATCCAGCAATAGCACTACTAGCTAGGTCTGTATCCCAAAGAAATCATAAAAAAGGGGAAAGGACCCACATGTACAAAAATATTTATAGCAGCCCTTCTCATGGTTGCAAAATATTTGAGACTGAGGGGATGCCCATTAGTTGGGGAATGGCTGTACCAGCTGTGGTATGTGAATATAATGGAATGAGCTACAAGAAATGATGAGCAGGCAGACTTCAGAAAAACCTGGAAAGACTTGTACGGACTGATGCTGAGTGAAGTGAGCAGAACCAGAAGAACATTATGCACAGTAACACTGTGCAATGATCAGCTACAATTGACTTAGCTCTTCTCAGTGGTACAATGATCCAAGTCACAGGGGTGGGAGACCTGTGGCCTCGAGGCCATGTGGCCCTCTGGGTCCCCGAGTGCGGCCCTTTGACTGAGTCCAAACTTCACAGAACAAATCTCCTTCATGAAAAGACTTATTCTATGAAACTTGGACTCGGTCAAAAGGCTGCCCCCGAAGACGCAGAGGGCTACATGTGGCCTCAAGGCCGCAGGTTCCCCAGCCCGAATCCACGACAATTCCAAAAGATCTGGATGGAAAATGCTGCCCACATCCAGAAAGAGAACTGTGGAGTCTGAATGTAGGTAGAAGCATGCTGTTTTCACTGTTTTTGCTTTGTGTTTTTTGTGGCTTTTCCTTTTTGTTCTGTTTCTTCTTTGACAACATGACTAATATGGAAATGTTTCCATGATTGTACATGTTTAACCTATGTCAGATTGCTTGCCATCTTGGGGAGAGGGGAGGGAGGGAGAAAAATTTGGAACTCCAGATCTTGCGTGGATCTTCTATAGAAGAACAACAATGAATTACACAGGGATCAAAGGCATGGATGGGTTTCACCTATGGAAGAGAGGCATCATTGTGAGATGATAGATCCATTGAAATGGGCTGTTTTACATTTTCTGTCACCAGGTATTATCTGTAGAAATACACATGGTAATAATTCTCCTACAGAAACGTGATTTCAGAATTTAGGAATGAAAGCCTGTTTCCTATCTAGAGCTAAGTTATGCTGCTTCTTACACATCTTACAGGAGAATATTTCAAAAGTAATACTGTTAGGTACCTTTTTTTCCTTTTGTAGCATATAGTTGTATTATTTACTAGATTATCTCAAATTCTCATTGCATCCTGTGTTTTTGCCTTGTGTTCATTGATATGGTAATGGTATAGCTGATCTCCGTGTTATGCATCCACATCCCCCTCAAGAACCGTCGGCAGATAAGAGTAATAGTAGACGAAGACTAAAAAGCACCAGCAAAGACAGAACAGAGACGCCCAGTGGTATGGCACAAGTTTGACACTGTCTTATATCTGTGATTTATTCAGAGCAATAGACTCTATCTGTACGTTGTAAAATCCAAAGGATTATGAATCAGTTCACTTATAATATCAATGTCTGTGCTACAGGGATTATGGAAATCAAACTTCCTATACAAAAATCACTTTGTAGGGCAAACAGAGATTTGCAGGATTAGAGGGTGCCTTGAGTGGTACAGAAACAAAGAGCTTTCCTCTTTCCAGAGGAGAAACCGAGGAAACTTCACTCATGACTTTTTAATGTTATAGATGTGAAGATGTTGCCAGCAGGCTTTACTGAAACCTTTATGGATCCCCATAATTTTTCTTTTTCAATTTTTATCTCCTTTTCCAAAGCAGAGCAAATGCTTTCTCTCTGGTTGTTGGCATATACTGTCATTTAGGCAGTTAAGTAGCTCAGTGGATAGAGCGTCCAACCTGGAGTCAGGGAGACCTGAGTTCAAATCCTGCTTCAGACGCTTAGTAGCTTTGTGACTCTGGGCAAGTCACTTAACCACTGTTGGCTTTTGTTTCCTCATCAGGAAAATGGAGATAATAATAGCACCCTGTTCCCAGAGTTGATCCTCAGATCAATTGAGGTAATATTTCTAAAGGGCTCTGCAGCCCTCAAAGCACTGTATAAATGCTAGCTATTGTTATTAAAAGGAGGGGAGAGAATAAGCATTTGATAAGTTGTGCTGGATATTGTGCAAATCATAGTAGTTATTATTCATTGTTATTATTTCTTTTTGTTCACTTCCAAACTAAAGTATTTTTAAAAGCGAAAGTCTGTGCACACGCACCACGCACAAAACACAGAGTCGTTCTCGTACTGCACCTGTTTGAGTAATTTAGAGATGGTAGACAGTAGTCTTAACTCTACCTCACTGTTTCATCAGTGCTTTAAGCAGTGAACAAGAGTCCTGGGATCCTTTCTGCAACCATCTTTTATAGCCTCTGACATAGAATTTGCTCAGAAACCATAGCTTAGAAACAGCTGTAATTTAAAAACAACAAATTTATTCTGCTTTCAAGGCACCAAAGGAAAAGAATTTAAGACCTTTTTGAAGCTTTTTTGGCATTATAAATGATAAATGTCTGAGATTCTTGTGAATGTTTACTAGTTTATAAAGTTAGAAAAAGGAATTTACTTGAAATGGTTCATTTGATTTTAAAAAGGCCTGTGAAAGAAAAAAAGGAAGTAAGAATCCATAGAATTACTCGTAAGTCATTACTGAAGAATTATATAGTTACCTTTCTAAAATAATTTTATAGTATTATTAAGAAATTTGTAGCTTTTGTAAATTTCATGTTGTAGGGACTTAGTAAATGTTGAGTTCTAATTGAAAATTCTGGAAAATGTTTGTTCCCATCAAGGGAGCTCCTCAGGAAACAGCCGTAATGAAGATACAACACCAGCCAAGCTCACCACTGTATACCATCAAAGAATGAACAGCGCAGTGACATTAAATGTCTCCAGTCATCAGCAACTATCTCCTCATCAGACAGGTTAGAGCCTCCGTTCTGTCTTATCTACTGACACCCAGCACAAATATTTGTCTGTAGTTTGGTGGAACCTAGGTGAATTTGAAATCACAGGAGCTGAACTTCAATCCAGTTCTCTTTACTATCTGACCCTAGGTCAGTCACATAACTTTTCTGGGCCTCTTTCTTTATCTGTTTGAAAAAAAAAAAAGCTCCTTACAGCTCTAGACCTTATGACATTACTGTTATCCTCTGGGGGAAAAAACGGAAGCCATCTAGCACTGTATTTCTTATAAATTCCATTTTCTAAGACAGAAACAACTTTCTGCAATAGATACATTCTTGTCCATTGCTATGATAGACAACATCTTGTTGACCTATTCAAAATAAATAGTAAAATTGTAGAGTTTTCTGACATTTTTTCATTTAACGCTATCACTCTTTCTGAAGATTATCTGTTATTCTGTTTCTGCCATTCTGTTGTGTAATGAACGTAGCTGAGATCTGTGGCAGGGCACATCCACATATCTTGCCCAGCAGGTGTGCAATACTTTTAGAAAGGCAAATTGTTTTTGAGCAAAGGAAAAGGGAAAACGAATGAATATTGTTTGTAGTTTGTCAGTCTTATTTATGCAATGTTGAAACCTTCATTAAAATGTTAGGTGCAATTAGAGTCTCTAGCATAAATCTGACTGTGTAGGGAAAACTAATTAGATGTTTAGGTGATCATTCTTGTATTTATCTTGTTTGCTGCAATATTGTGATTACATAGTAATTTACATATTTTCCTAAGAAAACACACCAAATTATTCATTACAATTGATATGGAAATAATTGGAGTAAAAATAAAATTCCAAAGTAACATGTGGTATTCAGATAATAGAACCTGGAAAATAACTGTAAAAAAATTTCTTTTTAAATTTTTGTTATTCAATACTACCTTTGGCATTAGGTCACCAGAATTGTTTAACTTTATAACCAGTATTCCCATTATATCTTCCTTTAAGTTTTGCCAGTGATTTTGGCAGCGTGGTGTAGTTGATAGAGAGCCCCCCTCACAGCCAGAAAGACCTGGATTTGAGATCTGCCCCTTAAGCATACTCTCTTTGTGACCCAAGGCCTTACCCTCTCAGTGCCCAGTGTCCTTGGCCATTCTCTGAATTGCAGAGAAGGTGCCAACCTGCACTGATAGAAGACTCCCTATACCAGTGATCCCACAGTCAGCCTCCTGATCCCTGTCCCTATCCTTTGATTTTCCAGTTTATGGTAGCCATTTTAGATATCAATTTAGTATCTTTATATACCAGCTTTGTGAGATTTATTTTTGTATGTTAGCCAAGAAGTAATTTTTGATCACCTTCACAGTGCCCAGAATCATACAAAGAGGCATTGAAATAAGGAAGGTCCACCTTGCCTTTTAAAAATGCTTTTTCCAATGACTCTCTGTGTCACAGATAGACAGGAGCCCAGCCTGGGCAGCCTCTCCCTTGTGCTGCTCAGCTGCATTCTCAGATTCTCAGTTAGTCCCATCTTCTTGTGGTCCATGTCAGCTGTTGAAATGTCCAAACTGAACTGATCGCTCCCAATTATAAGAGGAGACGCAAAGCCATGGAAAACGTACCAGCCTGAGGAGAGGGCACCTCTACCTGTCTTTGCTGTCATTTTTAATATTTCATTACCTTAGCCAAAGAAAGGGGGAATTTGTTTGGTAAGTGACCATAACCATCCATTTACCTCTACTTAACTGAAGTTTCTTCATCTGTAAAATTTATCCTACTTACCCTACACAGAGTTGTGGTGAAGGGAGCCCCTGGTTAGCCTGAGAGCCCTATAGAACTAGAAAGATAGGGAATGAGACAAGACCTGGGGTTTCCCTCATATAGAGAACCAAGAACACTTATTTTGCCAGGGTGGCACCTTCTCTGCCACTTAGCGTCTCGGAGAACGGCCCAGAGTCCTCCCTGAGAGGTGGACAGCTTGGCCGGAGTCACGCAGACAGACCCTATGTGTGTCAGATGTGGGAGATGAGCATTAGGATGGTGGGCCATATGGGTTGGGGAGCTCAGGGGTTTAAAAGTGAAGAGTGGTGCTGTAACTAATACCTAATACCCCTAAGTGGTGTCCCCGGTTGGCATTAGAGCCCAAGTCTTCTGATTCCAAATGGGGGTATTCTTTCTACTACAACCCTTCAGTGTAACACAGGTGATAATTGTTTTAGATGTCTACATTTCTTGATCACTTTTTCTTTTCTTAACTGAACAAGAATAATGAAGTAATTGCCTGTCACTGTGGTCATTGACCTGTTGGTTAACTTTTTGGCACCATTTGAGATGGCTGACAATATTATTGCACTTCTTTATTGTTCCAGTTGAGGATGCAATAAACTCTGGTCCCTTCAATTCATCAGTAGTTCAGTAATACGGAGTATTAGCCTCAGACCCCTTGCCTAAAGTAACTTTTTGTCGAGCAGTCCACTAATAATTATCTTCATTTGTCTTCCCTCCTGGCAGATGAGTGGGTATTTCCTGAAAATTACAGAGATCATTTTCCTTTGGACTGCAGCAAACAATCCATAACCCTGGAAGACAATTCCTGCAATAATTCACACCAGTTGCCAGAAAACAGCAAAGAAAATGAAAATAGCAGTCAAGGAGAAGAAACCCAAAGTGGTCCAGATGAGGTTTTTACATTTTCCTCAAGGCCGAGGCCCTTGCCTCATGGACGGCGTCAGACTGTGTGTGCAGAAGGGAGCCCCTTTCCGATGGATCCACAGGAGGAGCACGGTGGGAAGAGGAGAGGAGCCCCACTGGAAGATGACTTTTGTGGATGCACCAGCAGCGAAGAGGTACACAGCTTGGTGAATAGCTTAGCCCCCAGATCAGTGGGGTGAGGGGAAAACTTGCCTGCTGCTTATGAAAGTGTAGCTAATTGGAATGTCCACTGATAGTTACACCTTGTTGTTATGGTAACTGACTGTTGCTCATTTTTGTATTAGCATTCACCATATTTAATTTTGTTACAGAAGTCGTCTTTTACATTTTAGTGATCATCTCTCAGAATAAAAAATAAAATGCAGCTGATTTTTCTGCTAATAAGGCTGATCAAACCTTTCAAAAACGTTTTTTCTGTAAGGATGTTACATTGCAGGTGCTAAGTCTTCTGAGCTGTGAGAACTCCTTCCTTTCATGGCCTTGTTTCGCCTTAAACCCGTCTGGGCTCCTTGTTTTCTATATGGTCCCAGTTCCTCTGAGATAAACCAGTTTGAGTTTAGGTAATGGGTCATGGATCAGTATAGTATGTTATCTAGTTTAGAATTATTCAGAATATAAATTTTTAAATGTCAGTTATGTTCATGGAAAGATTTTTAAACTCATTAAAATCAAATGAATACATTTGAAAACATGGGGTTTTTTTTAAGAGCTTACTACCTTACAATAATCTTTTTGTCCTATTTTGAAATGAATTCACCTTTTAACTGCTTCATGTTACTTAATGATGGAGATTTTATTTTTCCCACAAAAATGAGTTAATAAAAATAACTATAGGCAGTTCTCACTTTACATAAGTGGACTGTTCCTCAGACCCCTATGTAAAGTGGTTTTTAATGTAATGCTTATTTACCTATGGACATGAAAAAGGGAAAGATGGAAGGAGGCAGCAAGGGGGCTGTTGGCCAATGGAGGGAGGAGGCTGACACATGGTTCTAAGACATATGGGGGCCAGGGACAGAGAAGCAAGAGCAAGAGGAGAAACATGTGGAGGCCAGGCTGGAACCGAGGGGAAGAACGTATCAGGGGCAGACATTTGGGGGCTGAGCGTGGACACGGAGAGGTGAGGGCGGGGCAACACGCAGGGGCTGGGGACAGTCATGTGGTACTCATGTGGACAGGTAGATGGATCAGGGGCAGAAATCTCCTCTCTTGGCTCAGAAGGTCTCAAGCCAAACCCCTGATGCAGCCCAGTGGTTCTTGCTTTCACTTGGAGGGTGTTGGTTTTTTTTTTTCAGTGGGGGGTGGGAGGCTACAGAGCACCAAGCCAAAGGACAAGAATAGGTACTGTTATTATCCCCATTTCACAGATGAGGAAGAGGTCAAATGACTTCTCCAGGGTCACACAGCAACTAAATATCTAAGGCGGAATTGAAACTCAGGATTTCTGACTCCAAGTACAACACTATTCACTGAACTAATTTGCGATAATGAATTTTTTTTTTAATTTCAGCATTCATTTTTATAAGATTTTGAGTTTCATATTTTTCTCCCTTTCCTCACCTTCCCTCCCCCCAATACAGCAGGCAGTCTGATGTAGGGGTACATGTACAGTCACTTCGAACATATTTCTACATTACTCACCTTGTGAAAAAAAAAAAGAATCAGAACACAAGGGAAAAACCATGGGAAAGAAAAAACAAAAAAAAGTGAAAATAGCATGCTTTGATCTACCTTCAGACTCCACAGTTCTTTCTCTGGATGTGGATGGCATTTTCCATCATGAGTCTCTTGGAAGTGTCTTGGATCGTATTGCTGAGAAGAGCCAAATCTATCATAGTTGATCATTGCACAGTGTTACTGTTACTATGTACAGTATTCTCCTGGTTCTGCTCACTTCTTAGCATCAATTCCTTTAAGTCTTTCCAGGGTTTTCTGAACTCTACATGCTCACATTTCTTATAGCACAATAGTATTTCATTACTTTCATATACTACAACTTGTTTATCTGTTTCCCACTTTATGGGCATCCCCTCTGTTTTCAATTCTTGGCCACCACAAAAAGATCCGCTATGAATATTTTTGTACATGTGGGTCCTTTTCCCATTTGTATGATCTCTGGGATACAGACCTAGAAGTGGTATTGCTGGGTCAAAGGCTATGCAGAGTTTTATAGCACTTTGCGTATAGTTCCAAATTGCTCTCCAGAATGGTTGGTTCATCTTCACAACTCCACCAACAATGCATTGGTGCTCCAATTTTCCCACATCTTTTCTAACATTTATTATTTTCCTTTTCCGTCATACTAGCCAATCTCATAGGTATGATGTAGTACCTCAGAGTTGTTTTAATTTGCATTTCTCTAATCAGTAGTGAGACTATAGATAGCTCTAATTTCTTTGTCTGAAAACTTCCTGTTCATATCCTTTGACCATTTACCAGTTGGGGAATGACTTGCATTCTTATAAATTTGGTTCGGTTCTCTACATTGAGAAATAAGGCCTTTATCAGAAACAGTGGCTGTAAAAATTGTTTCCCAGCTTTCTGCTTTCCTTCTAATCTTGGTTGCATCAGTTTTATTTGTGCAAAAACTTTTTTAATTTAATGTAATCAAAATTATCCATTTTGTATTTCATAGTGTTCTCTGTCTCTTGTTTGGTCATAAATTCTTCCCTTCTCCATAGGTCAGAGACGTAAACTATTCCTTGTACTCCTGATTTGCTTTTGGTACCATCCTTTATGTCTTCATCGTGTACGTGTTTTGAACTTACCTTGTTTTACAGTATAAGATGTTCATCTATGCCTACTTTCTGCCATACTCTTTTCCAGTTTTCCAAGCAGTTTTTGTCATATAGTGAGTTCTTACGCCAGAAGCTGGAGTATTTGGGTTTATCAAACAGTAGATAACCTATTCAGCTGATCCACCACCAAATAGTTTTGATGATTGCTGCTTTGTGATATAGTGTGAGATCTGGTATAGCCAGGCTACCTTTCTTTGCATTTTTTTTTCATTAATTCCTTGATATTCTTGACCTTTTGATCTTCCAGATAAATTTTATTATTTTTTTCTAGCTCTATAAAATAATTTTGGTAGTTTGATATGGCACTGAATAAGTAAATTAATTTAGGGAGAATCGTCATTTTTATTAAATTAGCTCGGCCTACCCATGAGCAATTGGTTTTTTCCAGTTGTTTAGATCTGATTTTATTTGTGTGAAAAGTGTTTTGTAGTTGTGTTCATATAGTTCCTGGGTTTGTCTTGGCAGGCAGACTCCCAAGTATTTTATATTGTCTGCAGTTATTTTAAATGGAATTTCTCTTTCTGTCTCTTACTGCTGGGCTTTGGTGGTACAATATAGAAGTGCTGCTGATTTATGTGGGTTTGTTTTATGTCTTGCAGCTTTTCCAAAGTTGTTAATTATTTATTTCAAGTAGTTTTTCAGTTGGTTCTCTAGGATTCTCTGAGAATACCACCATGTCATCTGCAAAGAGGGACAGTTTTGTTTCCTTATTGCCTGTCCTAATTCATTTCTTTTTCTTCTCTAATTGCTAAAGCTAACATTTCTAGTACAATATGTGGTAATGTATTAATGGGCTGAGTTGAGCTCTTCCTCCCTAATATTTCTGACAATTCTTGTGCATTTTAATTGTCACTTTAACTTTCATCTGCTAGTAAGAGTGCCTCTGCCTTAGGAGTACTGTTGCCACAGTGGCATGCTTTATGCATTATTCTTATGGCTTGTGGCGCTGAATCTCTTTTCCATTTGGTTACTGACAGTTGGGTTTAAATGAATATTTAGTGTTTAATTGTTCCTTCATCTCAGCTTTTTCGAGGTCAGGACTGTGTCGTTTTGTCTTTGTATTCTCGGAAGCTGGCCCAGTGCCTGCCACATAGTAGGAACTTAATAAGGACTTCTTGACTGATTGCGTGGTCCAGACTGTTGTTATTCAGTTGTTCTGTCCTGCCTCAGTCTTCGTGATCCTGTATGAAGTTTTCTCGTCAAGAATACTAGAGAGGTTTGCCATTTCCTTCTCCGGTGGATTAAGGCAAATAGGGTTAAGTGACTTGCCCAGCGTCACACAGCTAGGGAATGTCTGAGGCTGGATTTGAACTCCCATCTTCCAGACTCCAGACCCGGCATTTTATCCACTGAGCCATCTAGCTGCTTCTTGGTCCCAGTTATTCATCCATAGAAACACTGCTATTTTGTATGTCTTGAAATGTAGCTTGCCGCACAAAGCAAAGTGGTTATTTTTAGTTGGCTCTCTAATTAGATCTATGTAAAACTCACTTCAGAGAATTGAGATCCAAAATATCTACTGTGGGGCTCTTTTTTAGATTAGCCTTTGAGCCGCGCAGTTGCCGAATCTTCAGTTCATTTGGGTCGTATGAGATCGTCTCTATAAAGTGCTTAGTGCAGTCCCTGGCACAGAAGAGGCGCCATCTAAATGCGTGTCCCCTCCCCACCCCCTTGTGCCGGCTGTGTTCCAGCCAGAGTGGCCACCTCTGGTCCCCGTGCGTGACGTTCTGCTTAGCCGTGCTCCTTTTCCCCTTCCCCTTCAGCGCTTAAACCAGGTGCCATGTGGGACAAGGGGAGGTGCTGATGCCCCGTCTTGGTGCCTTTACAGTGACTTCACGTATATTCTGCGTGTACTTTTCTGCACATATTCCTTACCCCCTTACAGTATGAGCACCTTGAAGGTGGGGATTCTTCATATTTATCTCTTTGTCCCCAGAGCTTATCACAGTGCCTACTAGCACATCGTAGGCACTTAATAAATGCTTGTCAAATAAGCGTGTGCATGGATGCAAAAAAAAAAAAGGCCGTTTTCGGTGCTTACTCTGTGCCAAGCCCTGAGGGTGCAGACGCACACTGTCAGGAAAGCCCTTGCCCTCCGTCGAGTAGTGCGAGACAAAGCACCTAAAGGAGCAATGCACGTGGTAGGATGTTTTAGACCAGGGCTACATCAGATGCTCATTGGAGTCACCAGCCAATTAGTGGCTGCCTCTTCTAAGGAGTGACAGTGTTGGCTGACTGTTCTTCTCAGAACTCAAGTTGAAAAGGAAATGAGGAAGAGAAGGGTACATAGAGTCAACAGCCAGCATTTATTAAGCATCTTCTGTGTGCCAGGCACT